TGAGCCACCTAAAAGGAGGACCACCAAAATTCTTATTCTTCATCGCCAACAATTGAAGGCCCCTAAACAAAACCTAAACCCTTTGGTTTCTGCTGTTATGGCAAACATACAGGACTTTGGAAAAGAGATTGCTACAGATTTAAGTGCTTCAGGCACCTTCATCCCTCCAACGTCCTTCCAGTTCTCAGACAGGGCTCACAGAAAATACAGGAGCTCTGCCCAATCCTCCCTCTTAATCAACTCGGAGAAACATTTCTCCAGGTTGGGAATGAATCTCTCCCAGTCCTGTCATGGAGCCACACTCTCAATGCTCAACCCCCCTACTCAAGCAGCCCCTGCCCCAGAGTACTAAAACACTTCAAATAGTGGGGATCTCTAATGAACCTCAAGATGCTCCTGTCTCTAAACCTATTCCCTTTTGCTTAGGCCCTTTGAGAAATACACACCCTTTTCTCCTTTGTTCCTCCGCTCCCCTTTATTAGGCCAAGACTTCTTAGAGACGTATCATGTTGGAATTTCTCCCCCAAAGGGGAAATAATTCTAGAACTTGACAGTAGTCATCAAAGCAGCCAACCAGATAAGTTAAATGACCCTTTGACATTTTTTATTTGTTCCACCTCTGACAGTAGTAGAGATGATTCTGGAAACACTGATGATTTGTCCCTATTGAATCAGCTACCAGCTTCCTTAAGGGCAAAACCTCCAACCAATACTGGCAAAAATTCACAGTGTACTTCCCACCAAGATTCAAATAGATTCCCCAAATTCTCTTCTCAGAATTCATCAATATCGTATAAGTGAAGAAGCCCTGCAAGGCATAAAGTCAATGATAGGGACTGCAAGGCTCAAGGCTTCATTATTTCTTGTAGTAGCCCCTGTAACTCTCCCATTTGCTGGTGAGAAAACCTAAGGGGCAAGGGTAGAGGTTCGTCTTGGACCTCAAGCAATAGAAAACACAGTTATCGCTCAACACCCTATTGTTCCTAAACCTCAAATGTTACTAATACTCATTCCCATGGAAGCAAATTCTTGACTGTAAGTGATTTATGCAGTACGTCAGTTAGTATTTCAGTTGATGAAGCTAGCCAATACCTTTTTGCATTCACTTGGGAAGAAAAACAATTCCCCTGGACAGCAATGCTTCAGGGATTTTCTAGGAGTCCTTATTTCTTACAAATCCTGAAGGCTGATCTGGATGATATAAATTTCCCTAGGGATCTACTTTGTTGCAATACGTGGATGATTTGTTTCTTTTCTCTCCTTCTCAAGCTTCCTCATAAGAAGACAGTGTCTACCTGCTAAAGCTTTTAATCTTGAAGGGATGTAAGATTGCCAAAGAAAAGTTGCGGTTTGTCCAAACCTAGCTTCAATATTTAGGGCATTTTATATCAGAACAAGAGCTATACCTAGCTCCAGATAGACTTCATGGTGTCCCAAGTTTCCCCAAACCCCAAACTAAGCACTGACTGCTCGGTTTTCTTGGGCTACTTTGTTACTGTGAAAATTGGATTTCAAATTTCTCTCTTATGGCCAAACGTCTGTATGTTTTACTAAACAATAACAACCCTGACCTAATATTATGGGAAGAACCAGTTACATAGCTTTTAAGGCCTTAAAGGAGAGTTTGATGAACCCACCTGCCCTTGGGCATCCCAAATGGAAAGCAGATTTCCTTTTCCCTTTTTGTATATGAAAAGGAAGAGGTTATCCCTGGGATATTTACCCCAAAACACAGGGACCGCCATTGGCCCATAGGGCATTGTAGCCAGCAACTGGAGCCTGTGCCACTGGGATACCACCTTTGCCTTAGAGCCATTACAGCCACTGCCCTTTTGGTTAATCATTGTGGGATCTTCTTTAACCATTTTTGTACCTCATGAAGTAGAAGCCCTCCTGAATTCTCATCATACTCAACATTTCTAAGTCAGCCACCTCACTTCCTATGAAGTCCTTTTGTTAACTGGTCCTCACATAACTCTTTAAAAAAATATATTTATTTATGGCTGCGTTGGGTCTTCGTTTCTGCACGTGGGCTTTCTCTAGTTGCAGCGAGCAGGGGCTATGCTTCGTTGTGGTGCACGGGCTTCTCATTGTGGTGGCTTCTCTTGTTGCGGAGCATGGGCTGTAGGCACGTGGGCTTCAGTAGTTGTGGCACGTGGGCTCAGTAGTTGTGGCTCGTGGGCTCTAGAGCGCAGGCTCTGTAGTTGTGGCGCATGGGCTTAGCTGCTCCACGGCATGGGGGATCTTCCCGGACCAGGGCTCAAACCCGTGTCCCCTGCATTGGCAGGCGGATTCTTAGCCACTGAGCCACCAGGGAAGCCCCCACGTAACTCTTTTACATTGTAATAACCTTACCCTGGCTACCCTTCTCCTCTCCCTCTGTGATGAAGTCCCTCACCACTGCTTAATGCTGATGGGTCACCTCCTGACTCCTCCTGATGATTTTCAGGAAATTCTTTTGGGTAATGTTGACTTCTCATGGTTCATTGATAGTTCTTATTCAGAAGGTGACAATGACAAATATTGTGCTGGGTATGCTATTGCAACTCCTTTTGATGTTGTTACCTATGGCTACTTCAGCCCTGTGGTTCATATGGTTACTCAAAAGTGATCTCCATAGGTTACAATCTTACACGAGCTTGTAATTTAGCCAAGGATAAAACTGTCAGTAGTCATACTGATAGTAGATATGCTTTTGGAATAGCTTGTGATTTTGGAATGTTGTGGGGAGAGCATGGCTTCTTTACTTCCAGTGGAAATAAAATTTTAAATGATCCCTGTGTTCAGGAATGATTGGATGCAATGTTTTAGCTATTGATAAGATTCTGAGGCATTCTAAACTTGACTCTTTGGAAGCTGAGGGAAATCACCTTGATGACATTTCTGCAAGGAATGCTGACCTTAAAGGAACTGAAAGCAGTCAAACCTCTGTCATGGTCCAAAGGGATATTTCCCCAAATGATAACAAGCAAAACTGGCTAGAGAAGCCCAACAAGTGGCCTCAGAAAAAAGAAAAACAAGATTGAAAATTCAACAGTTGTTGGTTTGATAAAAAGAGAAAGCTCTGATTTGGACCAAATAACAACCTAGTCCTACTAGAGATCTAAAATTCCCACTAATCACCATTGTACATGCATTAAACCATTGGCCTACTGGCAAGAAGATAGCATCCGTGAATCAATATCAGTGAGGAAACATTAACAAGGCCACAAAAAGTGCCTACCTCACTGTTCCACTTATCTGAAATACAACTCAGGGAAGCCTGTTTGTACTGCTCCTGGACATTTTAAACTTCTTAATGGACCATTTGAGGTCTGGTAAATGGATTTCATACAACTTCCTCCATCTCATGGAGATAAATATCTTTCAGTCATGGTCTGTATGTTTCACACTGGACTAAAGCCTTCCTTTGCAGACAGGCTACTGCCTCTTCTGTGGCTAAAGTCCTTTTGGAAAAGATTATCCCTACCCGAGGAACTCCTCTCGAACTTCATAGTGATTGAGGAATTCATTTTGCTAGTCATGTACTTTGACAAGTCTGCACTGTTTGGCTGGTTTTACTTCACTGTGCTTATCACCCTCAATGCTCTGGTTTAGTCGAGTGCACTAATGGCATTATTAAGACTCCATGGCAACATTTGTAGAAACCCTCCAAATACCTTGTCCAAAAGTTTGCCATTGATCCTTCTAAATCTTAGATCCACTCCTTTTGGAACTCACAAACACTCGCCCTTTGAGATAGTCACAGGACACCCAAAGCTCTTGGCTTCTGCTTTTTCTCATCCACAGCCAATAAAAGGAGAGATACTCTCATACTGCTTTTGTTAAAAATAATCATGTTTTTTGTAGAGCAATCTTTTCACAGCGTGCTCTCTGGGGACAAAGACCTTAAGCATCACACCTTACAACCTGGATATTTTGTCTATTGGAAAAGATATCTCCAGAAGGACTATCTTCAATCTTGCTGGAGAGGCCCCTAGCAAGTACTGCTAACCAACACTTGTGCTGCCAAACTCCCGGGAATAGACTCTTGGATCCATGTGACAAAGAAGGAGGCCAAATCCTGATTGGACTTGCACATCATCTAGTGACATGAAAGTAAATATCTCCTAGAATTGAAGCATACAATATTTGATGAGACAACTTTCCCAAGATATCCAGATCAGGTCTGTCAGAAGTTTCTTTCCAAACCTTTGATGATGACATAACACTTCAGATAATCTCCAGAGTCTATTATCTTTGTAACATAGACTTTGGATTAAAAAAATGCTCGAGAGATCTCTCTCCTACCTCTCCTTGTTACTCAAATGTGATCTCATTAGGATTCCAATCTGTGCACTTTCTCTCCAACATGGGACACTATACCCAGGAAAGGCCCTTCCTGACATTAAGGGACAAAAAGCTGCTGAAACCAGAAGACCTGACTCTTGATCAGCGATACTTTCATAGAAAGGTCTTGATCAAGAGGAGAAAATGTAAAAAATTAGTAAATAGAAACCTCAATTAAATAGAGTCAGGAGACCAGAAAGGGGAGCACTCATGCCTTGTGACAACAGGCAGAGCCCAACAGGAAGAAGAAAGACTCCTCTTCTCTCCTGGCAACAACTCAGCCAGTGAAAAGCCACGGACTCTTCGTTTACTACAGCCTTCCCAACTCCATTTTCTCCTCTATAAAAGAGTTCTCCTTCCCTTGCTCTATGGGGAATTGCATGTAGCCTGCCCTGGTTGCAGACTCCAAGCTGCAATTCTCTGCTGATCCTGAGTAAACCCATTTCCACTGGAGAAATGACTGGCAATTTATTTGTTTTAGGTCAACATCTCTCAGTTCACAGGGCTATTGTGGGGATGGAAATAGACAACATGTGAGGAAACTGTGTATAAATTACAAAGTGTTAAATGTAGGTCAAATGATGGTGGGGTCAACACATGGCCCGTCCAAGAACAGTTGAAACACATGCATGTGCCTGCTCCTCCTCTGATGAGTTCTCTGCTTGACTTACCTGGGCCTTCCTGAACGTAGTCAGCCATGGGCCCTGTCACTGTGGCGATGTCGACATCGGCCATCTTGGAGCTCAGGGTGATCTCCCAGAAGTCAGCGGGGCTGCTGCAGTTGCTGCTCCGGTCCCCAGTGTACTCCTGTCCGGAGGAGCACGACCCAGGCCCGTTACACCTCTGGCACTCTGTGTTCCACTGAGCCACCCCAGGTATGAGGATAACAGGCCACGGCTGAACCAAGCCCCCCGGCTGCCCTTCACGCACCTTCTCATAAAAGAGCCTCTCGAGCCGCCCGTCCTCCTTCTTCAGGGACAGCCAGCGCCCACACAGGAACAGGAACTCGTCCTCGTTGGTGTCGTTCCAGATCTCCACCTTCTCCACGTACCAGTCTGCACACAATTTGGTGTTGTCGTGGCGGAGCTTGATCTTGTAGATGACACCCAGGTCAGCAGCCTCGATGATGAAGGTGTCGGCCTGGGGAGTCCAGATGTGTGGACTTGGGTGGTGGGGCGCTCCCCACCTCCACCCACCCCAACCCCATCCATCCAGTACCTTCCATCCCCCTCAACTGTTGGGCTGAACAGACCCTTTCTAGCCAGGAGCCTTCCAGGCCCAAATCCCTAACGCAGAGAGTTTGCTATTCCAAGGCCTCGCTTCCACAATGGCCCCGTTTTGCAGTCCGGCTCCTCTTGGGATAAGCTCTGTGGGTGTTTGGAATATGGACCCTGACGAGCTGTGTGAGTGGGGTGCTCAGCCTGGTACCTGGACATCCTTAGTTATGCTGAGTATTGGCTTGAGGTCAGGTGGGAGGCTGGACGGTAAGAGCTATGGAAGAGGTGAAATCTTTCTGAATAATGAGAGGGGGCTTGAAATTCCCAGGGGAAGCTGGCAGCTAGAGGAGCCAGGTCAGGCTGCAGGAGTGCAGGCAGAGAGGGGAGAGGCTGTGGCGGAGGCCAGGCTGGGGAGAGCACAGGGCATATCACCTGGACTGTGGGTTCATGAGGGATTTCGTCAGGGGTGTGACATTGGCCCTTCTCTGTGTCCCTGATTATATCTTTAGTGATGTGACATTGCACTCTTGGGTGCTTGCATTCTTTTAGGATTGCTCAGTGAGATGTGGAGTTCTAGGCTTTGGGTGATGTGGGGTCAAAACACAGCGGGCAGGAGCCTGGGGAGGGGGAAGAGGGAGAGGTGACTCTGAATGACACCCACTTCCCTTCTGAAAGATATGCTAAGTCACTGTGCTGAGTGCTGGGAACCCAGGGATGATAGGACACCCTGGGCTCCTCCTCAGGACAGCCCAGGTGGTGGGAACAACCACCTGCGTGAGGACTAGGGGCAGGGCTGGCAAGACTTGCCAGGTGGAGGCATTAAGCTGAAGTTGGGGGGCTGGGCCTTCTAGGCAGCCAGGGCAGCTCAGGCTGCGGGCTGAGGAAAGTGCAGGTGAATGGTGTGATGCTGATAGTGGGTGTGGGCCTGTGCAGGCCTTGGGGCGCTGGCAAGTGGCTGAGTCCATTACAGCAAAAATGGGTACACCTTACGACACAGCAGTTCCACTTTGCATCTGTCCTGGGGGGACACCTTCATACGTGCACAAGGATGCTTATTGCAGGATATCTTTTTACAGTGGAAAATTGGGACCCACCTCGGTGTCCACAGTGCTTAGGGAATGGAAAATAACCGTGGCAATGTCGTGTGTGGAATGTAATGTGTGCAGTGGTTACAAAGAACAAGACGACAACATCTGTGTTTGACTCTCCTGACGCATAGATTTCGACGATACTCCACTGCCTGCAAAAAGCACACATATAGGATGATGCCTTTTATGTAAAAAGTTAAAACCACAGAACAGCACTCTGTATTTCCTATGTGCATATGTGCACAGATGCAGAGAAAAGGCTTGGAAAAACGTGGAGATAGGAGAAAGTGTGGAGCGTTCTGGAAACTGGGGCCCAGGGGGACATTCTATGCAGGCTGGCTGGGCAGGCAGTGAAGGTTTGTGAATCCCATGAAAGGCTCAGACCAGATTTGGGATCGGTGGGGAGCTCGACAGGTTGAAGTGAGGGAGTGACTCGGCCACCTTTGGAAGGGTTAACTGGGGACAGCTGGAGGATGGATTGAATTTCAGGGGCCTGGAGCAGGGAGACGAGACTGGCTCACTAAGCAAGGTGCAATAAGGAAGGGCTGAGTGGTGACAAAGTTGACCGGGCTGATCTGAGGGTTATTTAGAAGAGATCCTCTCCATGACTCTCCAAGATTGATTGGATATGGGTGGGAAGGGAGGGCTGATAGGGAGAGGGGTGTCCAGGTGACTCCTAGATTCTGGAGCAAATAAGTAGAGAAGTGGAAGCTTTTAGATGCTCAGCAGTGAACTTAAAGTCCTAACTCATCAGTGACTGAGCCAGAAGTAGCTGCAGCTCCCCCAGTGGGACATCAATACAGGAGGGAAGGAAGAGAAAGGGATGAGGCAGAGACTTTCTTGTTATGTCATAATTGCTAAGAGAGAAAAGAATCTGAATCTAAATACGGAGGAGTATGGATTGCATCACCTTCATTTATACCTTCATTCATTTATTCACTCAAAAAATATTTATGCGCCTACTCTGCTAGGCCCTGTGGATTGAGCCACGAACGAGCGACCTGTCATCCGTATGGCGCACACTGCTGTCTGATGGTGCATTTTCCAGGCACTGTGATGAGCTACAGGAAAGGTGGGCTCTCCCAAGCCTCAACAACAGCCAGCACTAACAAGGAGCTAACTTCATGCCAGGCATGGTTCTAGGCACTTCACATGTTTTAATTCAGTGAACTTATTTTATGGTGGAGGAAACTAAGGCACAGAGATGCTAGGGAACTTGCCCAGGATCACACAGCTAGTCAGTGTCAGAGACAGGAGCTGAACGCATGTGATCTGGCCCCAGCCGCAGGTCTGGGCACGCCTGCGCCGCCTGGCATGACCACGTGCCAGAGCAGCATGTGTGAGTCAGCCTGATGATAACGTCCCTACTTCAGAATCAGGCACACCACATGAGTCACTTGACCTCTTTGTTATTCTATTTTTCCAAAATGAATAGACCTCCTATTAGCTACCTTGTAAGTGTGGCAAACAACTATATTGTGTGTGTGTGTGTTATAAATTTTTTCTCCCTGATACAAAGCGCTCTTCTATCTCTTGTCCAGTTTTTCAGTTCAGGGGTCTAAGTAGCTATTCCCATTCCAGAAGCAGTAAACCAAAGCTATAGGTAATGGGTTCATATATGGATGACAGAGCAAAGGCAGCCCTGGGGCCTGACTCCTCCCAGACCTCAAGGTTAGGCTGGGGCTCCTTCCAGGGGGTCTGGCTCCTGGGGTTACCCACCAGCTGCAGACCTGCTTAGTGACACCTGCTTTCCTTGGCCCAGAGCTACTTTCCTGCTCACCAAGTAGCGAATGTTTCAGCACTAAAGGTCATGCCTGGCTGGGGGTCGGGCTTAAGGAGACCCCTGATAAACACCCACTGGTTGATGCGGGAATCTCCCCAGGCACTCGGCCACAGGGAGGGCCGCAGACTCAGTTAGAGCCAATCACCTTGCTTTCATCCCCACAGCTGTAGCCTGGTCTGGGGGGGTTCGGCAGATTTCGGTGAACGGAGGGGGAAGAGAGGCTGAGGGACAGTGAAGGGGGAAGGTGGCAGGGGCACCTTCCAGAGAGGGGAGCTCTGGCGGAGAGAGGGAGGCCAAGCTGGTGGGTGGGCAAGTTTGGTCGGATACCTTCTTTTTTGTAAAACCACTGTTAGGTCAGAGCTGGCAGGGCCTTGGACACCATCCAGTGGGGTGGTTTTCAAGGCTTTTCTGTAGCCACAGAGCCCCTTGCTTAATAAAGGGCTTGCTTGGCACTCCAATAGATAGGCCAGGTCAGAGTGGACCCGTGCGGGAGGAGTGGCTGCCCGTCTGCTGCCCCTACCCTTCTGTGGCTCCCGTGCTGCCCAGCCTCGGTGCTGCCCAGGACTCTGCACAACACAGTTTAGCTGATTCACATCAGCCTCCTTATTTCACAGATGAGGAAACTGAGGCCAGAGATGCTCAGCAACGTAAGGAGTGGATGGCAGAAGGAGGCCTCCAGACCCCTAGTTCAAGCTGCTGTCTGGGCAACACTGCCACTCTGCAGGCGCTCACCACTCCACACTCGTGACCCACTGCAGTGAGCTGGATTCTTTGAAGACAACCCAGTCTTCAAAGCCCCACCCCTACTCCACTTGCTCAAGCCCCACCCCTACGCCACATGCAGGACCCTGCGTAGGCTGAGAGAAGGGGAGCAGACTCCGTGGGGGGGCAAATGCCCACATAAGGGTGCATGACATCCCGCAAAGTTCCAAGACAAGAAGAGCTGGCCCCTTTCATCCCCACCCCACATAATGATAACGCGACAGGGAGGAGAGGGGCGGGGTAACTCGGCGGGCTCCGCCTACCGTTCCTCTCTCGAATTTGTTGGTGCGGTTCTCTGACTTGCCGAGGTACCGCTCTCCCGTGTCCCCGAGGTCTCCATAGATGGTGATGTAGACCTTGGCGTCCGTCCCTGCCCCGGGAACGTTTCCTGTGAAGATCTGCACCGAGTACAGCACAACTGGGTGGGCAGCCGGACAGACAAAGGGAAGAAAGGGATGGCATTGTTTAGGTTTGGGGGAACTGGATTTGTAGGCGGTATTCAGCTTGTGGCCCAGGACTCCAGAACTGAGCGTCCTCCTTTTGTCTGTTCCCTTACGCACATTCTGCTACAGGTCAGAGTGGCTTCACCAGTGGGAAGTTTACCTCTAAGAGACCCAAGGGATGGAGAATTTTCCAGCCCCCTCTAACCATCCACCCCTCCAGCTGCTTACAGCCTCCGGAGGAGAGACTCAGGAAACTGCCTGACGCACATGTGCACCGTGGTCACTAAATCTATCTGCCGTGACACACTGACAGTAAGGTGCCTTCCCATGTGAGGGTGACCGGTATCAATGCCAGATCCTTCTAAACGGTTTATGGAAAAAATCAAATATTTTTGAAAGAATAGCTTCCCCTCAGTGTCTTTCGTATTTTCATTTACTCTTCAGCCAGCCTGCCCCCAGCTGCCCCCAGTTTTCCTCCAGGGAAATCCCCCTCACCAAAGCCACAGTCACTGCCACCCACTCCTTTATCTCCTATGGCTTTTGGAAAGGGCTCAATAAATACTGGTGTGACAGTTATTAAAAGTTATTCAGGAAAATGAAACTAAACACTGTCTTGGTTTTGTTTTGCTGCTATACACTCATCAGGGAAGAACAAAGTAGCCCCTTTCCCAATCCCCACCCCAGGAGGGAAAGGCAAGGCTTTGTTTTTAGGAAGGCTGAGCATTCTTTGTCTCCTCTCCATATTCCTTTATCCTAGGGGCTTTGGAGTTTCAGGCCAGGGAAGAGGGGACTTAGCTGGATTATCCCCAAGGGGAAGGATGAAAGTTGTGGCTTTGAGGTGAAGGCAGAAATGGTCCAACTGGGAAGAAGTTCAGTTTCCCCAGCCTGGGAGCAGGTGAGGGTTCGAGAGTCCCTATGGGTAGTAGGAAATCCTCACCTGCACAAAGGGACCCAATAAGGAGACAGCTGCCTGGCTTATCTGGGGACTTGAAGTAAGGAGGCCTCCAGGCTGAAGAGAGGGTCTTTTGGGCTTCCCTGGTGGCACAGTGGTTAAGAATCCGCCTGTCAATGCAGGGGACACGGGTTTGAGCCCTGGTCCGGGAAGATCCCACATGCCATGGAGCAACTAAGCCCGTGCACCACAACTACTGAGCCTGCGCTCTAGAGCCTGCGAGCCACAACTACTGAAGCCCGCGCGCCTAGAGCCCGTGCTCCGCAACAAAGACAAGCCACCGCGATGAGAAGCCTGCGCACCACAATGAGAAGCCTGCACACTGCAATGAAGAGTAGCCCCCGCTCACTGCAACTAGAGAAAGCCTGCACGCAGCAACAAAGACCCAAAACAACCATAAATAAATAAATAAATAAATAAATAAATAAATTTATTTTTAAAAAAGAGAGAGAGAGGGTCTTTTGACAAAGCCAGGGTCCATGGAGGAGCATTGCTGGCCATCCAGAGAGATGAAACCTGCACGTCGGCGGGGAGCAAGCAGCAGCAGTGTCACCGAGCGGCAGGAGACCACAGGTGTAGGTCGTTCCCACCTGGACTAAGGATCAGGCCCCTGATGTGAGCCTCAGGATTTTTATAAGACCCTAGAAAAGGGGATGCCCCCTCCCTGCAGTGACTGAGATGGACTTTCTTACCAACCCTTGCAAGTGGGCTCAAAACCACATGTAATTAAATGTAGGAGAGTAAGGTGATGTGAGCTGCTCCTACCGGTTGGTATGGAACATGCTCACGCCCAGAACACGGTTCCTATTATTATCCTCATTTTCCCTTGGATTCCACAGCATTAGTCCTTCCTGCTCTCCTTCTGCCTCTCTGGCTGCTCCCTGAGCAGCTTTATAGGTTCCTGATCATCTGCCTACCCCTCGGATGCCCACGTCTCCCAGGTCAGTCCACTTCCCGCAGCTCTTACCCTGCATGCCCCGGGTGTTGACTTCTGTGAGTTCCCCGCAGCTGCATCTCCAGCCCAGTTCCCTCCTGTGCTCTGGACCCACACCCCCATGTCTACCTTGACTAGACCACAGAGCACAGACTCACATCCAATCCTGAACTCCGCCCCCTCCCTACGTCCGCTTCCCCATCCTCCCTTCTCTGCCACCCCACCCAGCACTCTGCTGGCTAAACCTCCTTGGCGCACTGGGAGAACTGCTCTCAGAGGCCTGTCCCCTCAAGGACAGGAACCAGCACCCCCACCTTGCTCGGCTCAGCTCAGAATCTGACCAGCATTTCACGTGTGCATTAAACAAATCCTCTCGTGTCGAAAAGAGTCAACATCTCCCACGCCTGTCTGGCTAATACTGACATGAGGTAACATTAAGAATCTTGCCACGGTTTAGACACGACAGTCGACTGTCCCCACCCCCCTCATTTTCTCTCCCCGTCCATTTGCTGGCTGTGTATTCAGCCCTACTTCACACCTGGGCGGGACCTCTTCTAGGAGCCCTCGTCCGGGAGTGGGGTGCTGTGTCCCCAGGGCTGTGATTAAATGGCCTTCCTGCCCCTTTCTCCCCGCCCCCGACCCCCCCGCCACTCTCTCCAGTCCTTTGGGAATTAGGAAAACCAATTCAGCTTCTGGGTGCTGAGCAATGTGGTCATGCAGTCAAATCCTACAATTTCTGGATCCTCCTCCCTCCCTATCCCACCAAGGCCACACAGCTCTCCGTGGAAAGATGTTTCCCTAGAAACACCACCCAGCACAGAGTGGGTTTGTGGCATGTTATTAATACAGAACAGCCAAGTGTATCACCGGGCCAGCTTTCCTGGGCATCCTCTGGTTTCCAAGTAGAAAAGGGAATTATCTGCCAGATTCAATAGCAAAGCAAATTTGGAGAAAGGGATATGGGTAGGGAAAAGCATGTTATTGAGGCAACACTTGTTTTTATCTCTTAAGCAAACGGCAACTCAGACTAAAGGAAATGTGAGAGCTATAGCAGAGGCTCAGCTGAGGCTGAGGGCTGAGCCTGGAGCAATACCACCTGGCAAGAGAAGGGAGAACGGCACTCAGGGGCCAGCCAGAGAGGTAAGAAGAGAACCAGAAAACGGTAGTTCAAAAGCAAAGGAATGAGAGCAAGAAGTGTGTGGTCAGGCTGGGGCAAATCAGGCAGAAAAAAACCTTATCAATGAGAACAAGCAAACTGGCACATACAGAAAAGAAACCCATGACCTTGGACACTGAAGCTGCACCTAGCCCCTGAGAACAAACACACCACAGCTCCAGTTCTGTACAAAGCCAGGATGCTATTTCATTCATACTCGGTTGGGACAGCTGGATCCAGCAAGAGCAGAGAGGACCAAGCCCTGCAGATTAGTAGCCAAATTAACTAAGCAAGGGAGAGAACAAGGACCAGTATAGTCCAGGCGCAGGAGGGCACATATTTGGATGTATGATCACACTGTCAGACCAGGAAAGGATTTGCGCACAAACCTCAGAGTGAGATAGCTGAGTACCTTTGAAGAATAGCCCTGCCATTTATTAGCTGAGTGAACTTCGGCAGGTTATGTAACCTCTGTGAGCCTCAGTTGCCCTCTCTATGGAGTGAAGATAATTATAGACTCTACCTCCTGGGTGCAAAGGCTCCGCCCAGCACAGGGCAGGTGCCCTACAAGGGAGGGCTCTGCTGACAGTGATGAGGGTGATCACACCACACTTACTGTCCAGAGGCTCTTCCACTTCCTTGTAGACTTGCCTTAAAGACCCATCTTTCATGTATTTCTCAGTGAAGATATCATAAGGGACCAGTTCTCGAATGGTCTTCTTGTCGTCCTCTGAGGTGGCAAGCCATCGATCACAAGGGAAGGTCAAGGTCTCTGTGCCCTGGGGTGAGGAGGAAGGAGGAAACTGAGCCATTAATGTGGAAACTGCCAACTTCAGTCATTCATCACCATGTCAGCACTCATGGGGACCAACCAAGGACAGGGGTGATGGAGCCCTACTGATTATACAAAAGCCACAGAGGAGCCCCCCCCACCCCCACCCCGCCCCGGCCTGCCCCAATTCCGGCAGATCCAGTCTTACTTAAAGCACTTTCCACACCATGTCGGGTAGGCTCTTGAAGGTGGAGTTCCCTGAGTCACTTAAAAATAGATATCTGAACCCCATCCCAGAGACTCAGACTCAGCAGGCAAGGAGAGGAAGCTCTGTTTTTTTTAAACTGCTCACAGCTCCCAGCTCATACCACAGCCATGACTGACAGCTGCTTCCTAGGTTTAGAATTTCGTGGTTTTGGAATGTTTTCCAAGTTGGTTAGGTGAGTTTCTTTCTCTGAGTTGACCTTGAGTTGCAGGAAGGGCACACTTGGTCACTCACTGGTAGTATGGCTTTGGGGGTGGGGAGCAGAGACATGGTTGCCCAGACCCTCCTTCCTGACCCATAAACCAGGTTCTAAAAGATTCTGCCTTGGACCTGAGTTAGTTCCTGTACTCGGAGTGAACTGGCTGAATTTTCCTTAGATGATTTTATCTCAACTTAAAAAGGCTACCGTTTCTTATAAAGAATCTGTCTTTAATCTCTTCTGAAAAGGGACAAAAGAAACAGCAGGACAGATCAGTCAGAAACTCACATCTTTATCTGGGAGGAGCCTGCGGATGTCCACGTGGGAGCAGTGCCAACCAGGATTTATGCCCGTATTATCATGGCCAATCCGAATTTTTTCAATGATTTCTCCCACGTCTTCTAACTTTGGAAAGGAGAAAATGTACCAGATGTTGGCTGAAAGGTCCTGGAAAGTACAACTTCAGCAAAACCCTGCCTCCCCAGGGCATCCACCCTTGAGCCCCTTTGAACTTCCTGGGGTCACTTTCTCCCAGTATGTCCCTCCTGTCCAGCCAAGCCAGCCCCTGCCCTCCCCTACATATGCCGTGCTCATACCTCCCTTCCTCTCCCCGAGCTTAACATCAGCCTAGACTTCAGAACTCAGTTCACTCAAGCTCTGGGAGGCTGCCCCCCGCTTTTCATGGTGGAGCCCAGCTCCTTGTCTTCTAGTAGTGGCTTAAGAACTGACTGGGGGCTATCAGAAGATGAGTTCTAGCTCTGCCCGTGCCCTCTCTTGCCACCCTTACCTTCTCCTTGGCCCCCAAGAGCCCCCTTCATCTCCAGCCACTCCTCTTCTATATCCCCCAAATTCCAGTCCCTCAAACTCTACATTCTCTTGTCACAGGGCCTTTGCACATGCTCCCCCTGCCCCTTCCCTTTTCTCTTCTTTACCTAAACCAGTGTTTGTTCAACCTCATCATTCAGGTCTCAGCTCAAGGATCACTTCTTCAGGGAACCCCCTTGACCACCTTAAGAAAGTCAAATCTCTTCACGATAGGGTCTGACAGCACCCTATAACCACCCCACACAGCAGTTCTCAGTTAGAAGTTTGCATTTACCTGTGTGATAAAGAAGGTGTGATACCTTCTTCTCTACAACTGAAAGCCACAAGGGTAGGCATCACATCTGTTTTGCCCATCACTGCATCCCCAAAGCCCAGAACCTAGGTTCTCAATAACTATTGGCTGGAAGGATGAAAGAATGATTGTTTCCTCATTTGAAAAATGGGTATGACAAAGTCAGCTGGGTTCTCTCACATGCAGTGCTGAAACTTAACTACCAAGTTATGTACGAATGTCCCCTTGAATGAAAAAGCTGATTACGTGCGTGCCACAGTGAGCCCCTGAAATTCAGGAGCTGTGATCTCCTGTCTCTCCTGCCTGGAGCCTATGGGCATAAGGTGCAAGGGAGGAACTCAGCCAGGAGTGACTTATCCCCAGATTCTTCCCTTGGAGCCCTCTAAGGAAGCAGGGAGGTGGCCAGTCACAAGGCAAGGTAGCCACTCAGCTGGCACCTGTCTCCCCGGCTCTCTCTCTGCCAGGCTGCCCTCCATCATCCCACCAGGTCCCACTCCAGGGCCTCTCACAGTTCTCATGTGTCATATTCTCTTCTGAAATGGTGCTGTATATATCAGTTCACACCCTGCCTCAGCCCTATGGGGATCTGAGCAATCACAGGTGGATATAAACAAGGAAGTCGGGGTAAAGGGAAAAGAGGGTAGGGAAATACAGTAATACCCAGGTGCTCTGGCTCATGGTTGGTCCACGGAATTCACGCCTTTTGCTTTGGCAGTTGGGGGTTAAAGAGGGTGTGCAGACTTGAGTTTCCTGGTAGCAACTGTGCAAAGCTACCCACCTGGCCTGCTCCATCAAGGTCTCAGTGCTACAAAGAGATGGCTCCAGGACGGATGAGAGCTCCCGATGAGTGAATGGCATCTGAATGAGTGATTGAGTCATTCATCAAATGCAAAGCCTCCATAACTCTAGACAGATGTGACCTGGGAACGGACTAGAACAGCTCCCACCGCTGCATACCCTCCGCACACACCGCCCACAGTCAGCAGCCACGGTAAGGCCCATCAGCACTGCTTGAGAAACCTCCCCCTAGTCCCACCCCACCTCCATCCTTCCCAGTTGCAGCCCTACGAGCTGTGTGATCTAGACAAGGCACTTGACCTTCCAGGTCTCAACTGCCTCATCTATCAAATAGGAAGATTGCTCAGCTTAAGGCAGAGGCATGGGCAGAGCAACCCTTCGAGGTCACTCCTACATCTAAGATCGCAGACGTGCTTCTTTTTGTCAGTGATTCTCTCCTTCCAAGTGACCAATATGGCGCCACATTGCTGGAGACACCCTGAGTTAACAAGATGCTATAACTGTCATTGCTTCTGCTGCCCTGCAGCTCCGCTGCAACTCCCCGCTGGCCAGCTCACCCATGCATCATCAGAGAAGTGGTGTCCCCCACGAGTCCTCGGGCTTTCTGAATCATTACACAGAGACCAGTGATTTCACAGGGCCTTATCCTTTGACAACAGGAGAAACAGGAAGCTACGGGTGAGATCGTGGCTCACAGAATCTGCACTCAAGGACGCTGAGCTGTCAGGCAGCTGGCAAATGGAATCATTTGCCAGCCTAACTCTTGGAATGGTGATGAGGATTAAATGAGTTGACACACACCAAGTGCTGAGGACAAGGTTGGCACATGGCAAGTGCTCAGTAAATATTAGCTATTGTTGTTATTTTCCCAGCCGATCTGTGTGTCTGAGGACGAGGCCACGGAGAGAGGATGGGGCTTGCTCATGAGTTAGAGGCTGAGCAGAACCAGAACCCAGGGTTATGGGCTTGCAACCCAGCACTCCACCTCTTATCTGAAGATCAACTGGAAAAGAGAAATGGAGAGACAGGGACACAAAGCGATCTCATTTGTTTATAAGTTCTCATACACCCAGCTCCCAGATAGATTTGAAAAGAAAAAAGAAATAAGATAGCAACAAATTGCTGGCAAATTATAGCTGCCCATTAGGCAGACTTCATTGATAAAACTTCCCGGAAGCCATGCTGAGGTGTAATCACAGCTCCGGTCCCTGACGGCATCAGGCTTGGATGACGCACACGCCATGACATCTCGGGTGGGTGAGGTGTTGCTCTGTGTGCGTAGATGAATCATCCTTGAATTTTCCTTGTTAAAAAACTCCACCAAGGTGGCGCAGTGGTTGAGAGTCCACCTGCCGATGCAGGGGACACGGGTTCGTGCCCCAGTCCGGGAAGATCCCACGTGCCGCGGAGCGGCTGGGCCCGTGAGCCATGGCCGCCGAGCCTGCGCGTCCGGAGCCTGTGCTCCGCAACGGGAGAGGCCACGGCGGTGAGAGGCCCGCATACCGCAAATAAAACCCCCAAAAAACAAACAAACAAACAAAACTCCATCAAGGTGGCAAACTTCCCAGAAGTGCTGACTGCTCCCAGAGAAGGTGGGGAGGGGAAAGGGAGTCCCCCGGGGTAGACACAGCCCGAGGAAGAAGGAAGGGGCTCTGGACTTTGTTTCCCACCAGAAAATAAGGGGCACCTTTGCAAAAGTCCCCACCACCTGGAGAGCCCAGGCTCCCATCTCCCACGCTGCAGAGTCACATCCCCTTCAGGTTCTGCTCCATCTCGTCCTCGAGCCAAGTCGCATGACTCTCCTCTGGCCAAACCTCAAAGCACTTGCTGTGCTTACTTCCACCTCTGGCCATGATGTTCCCCTTGCTAGGAATGCCTTCCCTCCTTGCTCCTGCTTATGTCCACTTTCAGGTCCAGCTCAAAACCACCGCTTCCAGGGAGCCCTCTCCCATCTCTGAACACCTATAGCATGCTCAGTCAGCCCCGCTGTTTGCCCTCATCACCATGGACTAGTCTACTACAGCAGCTAAGAGCACATATTGTGAGCCAGTCCTCCTGGCTTTGAATCCTGCTTCCACTATGCCTTGGTTGTGTGATTTCATGTAAGCTACTAAGCTCTCTGTGCCTCAGTTTCCCCATATTAAAGCAGGGGTGATTAAAGCGCAGAGGTGCTATGAGGGTTAAGTGAGTTAATATGGGTAAAGCCCTATGACGGTGCCTTCTTACCCCCAGGATCAGTTACTATGATGATCGCCAGACTCTCTCACTAGCCTCGTGTGAGATCTGGAGTTCCCTAGCTGGACTGCAAGCCCCTTGCAGGCGTAGTCTGGGTCCTCTTCTTCCCTTGTCTCTCCCACCCCACCTGGCACGCAGTGGAGTGCACAGGGAGGCACGGGACTGAGTGCAGAGAATACCAAGGTGTGGATGTGGTGACATACATCCACAGTAACCGTCGAACAACTCTCAGGCCAGAGTTGAGGGGGAACCGAGGAATATACGGATGCTCTTTTGTGTATGAGAGGATTGGCCATAGCTTATCAGATGAATGGGAGACAATTATGCGATGAGAAAGTCTGGAAGCCGGCTCTCTCCACGGGTCTCTGTTGTTGGTAGCACTGGAGATGGCCCCAATGGAACTGGAATTGTGCTTCTAGCTCCCTAAGCCCTATCCACTCATGATCACCTTTGATTCAGACACTGGTCCTGGAAGGGCAGTTTCACTGTCCTCCTGGCTACTCAGATGCACTGAGGCTCAGAGAGGTTGGATGAACTGCCTGTCTCCCTCACTCACAGCAGCGCGTCAGAGGGAAGGCACACGTCAGACTCTGGACAAAGGGCTCCTTCTCCTTGTCTTCTGGCCCATCCTGCCCCCAGCCCTGGCTCCCCCGGCAGCCTGCCAGACCCAGGTACCTCCATTATGAAGCGGGAGGCGGACTTCCTCTCAAAGAACAGCTTCTGCTCCCTCTTGTTGGTACATAGGTACTTTTGCTGGGTGCACACGGCATCGCAGCCATAGATGATGATGAAGATGTTGGCGTCTGTCCCAGCGGCAAAGACATCACTGGTGTAGAGGGTGATCTCGTAAGGGACAACTAAGGTGGGGGACAGAGGGCAAAGTCAGAGGGGAGGTGAAAACAGGACACAGGCAGGTCAAGTTCTTCACGAGCACCACCATCCCAGATGGTCCCTTCATTGGGAGCTGCTACCCAGGGACCTGAACCTTCACATGGTTGCCTAGCAACCACAGGGTGAAGGGAGGTGTTTTGTCATGCCTAGTGGCCACAGAAAGCTCCTGTCACCTCAGACCAGGGTCTCCGTGCCTCTCCCATCACAGAGCTAGTACAACAGACTGGCTGAAAGCACAGGCTCTAGCCTGACTATCTGTGTGACCTGGACGAGTCACCTACAAGCCTTGGTTTCCTCATTTGTAAAGTGTTCTGAATGGAGTCCTTGGCTCTAGACACTCTATACACAGGAGCATTATGTTTCAGGGGACAACAGCCAATTGGATCAGCCAGTCTACAGTGGTGAGAGTCCTTTCTCTTCTCTTCCCACCCCTTGCTACTCATCCACTGACTCCAACTGGCCTGCCCCTCAACCCCTCAGCACAGACTTTCTGATGATGATAGAGGAAGGAAAGTGTCAAAACTTCACCTAGTTGTTCCACTTCCTCCTTTCCTTTAGCTGGTAAAGGAATTACATTTACCTTCTTTTAAAGTTCTTTTTCCCCCTAATCAGGATAAAATCTTATAGTGGTGATTTCTTTGGTGTGTTAATGACTGGAGTGAGGATTGGTGAAGGGGTTGATAATGATCCTTCACTGTTCGACCTTTATCTTTTCTTCCTTTCAGGTCTTACAACTATTCTACATTATTATCTCTATTTTGTAGACAAGAAAACTGAACTCCAGAGAAGTCAGGCTCTCTGCCTGTTGTCACCAGCTAGTTTGGGGTACAGTGTGGAATACATCCCATATTTCCTTTCGCTGGGTCCAGGGCTCTGTCCACAGCCAGCACAGGGCCAGGGGAATTTCCAAGGTGTGCCTGGCCAAGGGTCAACACTGGATGATGGACCGGGACTGAGTTGGGGTGATGAGCAATGGGGTGCAGGAGGAGGCCCAGCCTTGCTGTGCAAGATTCCTACATGGTGTATACAGCCTTGTCTGAAGTTCCGCGTGGAAGAGGTCCCTGACGATGGCACCATCGTCTTCATTCTTGGCCAACCAGCGGCCACAGGGGAATGTCATGCACCTTCCAAGGGATGGGGCGTCCACCTCTACCCAGTCTACAAACCAGCCTGGAGCCTTGCCTGGAGGGAAGGAGACACAGAACTCATCAAGGACCTCTACACAGATGGTTTTCTGTGAACAACTTCAGGGACTCCAAACATCCTTCCCTACTCGATGGCTGGTGCTTATAGCTCCACCGTGAACATGCCATCCCTTCTGCACACAGCATTACTGAACTGACTCCCCTGCACCCAGCTGAAAGTGGATCACACTCCAGCCTGCTGTCAGTGAAATTAGCAAGAGCAAAGGAGCATGGGGAGGAGATGACAGGAGGCAGAGAGGCTGAGGGGAGGGAAGCAAGGACACTGTCCAAGGTGGAAGGTGCTCCAAAGATGGAGCCCAGAGATGCCAGAGAGAGCCTGTGTTAATGAGGACTCCATAGTTTCACCCGGTGACGGGGCGAAACACTGGGCTCCCTGGCCTCAGTTTGTGATACATGAAGGCAAGGGAAACTAGTGAAGGATCAATGCTCCTCCCTGGGAAAATGAGTGCTCAGCTTTAAAGAAAGAAATGGAAGCCAGGCAGAGACCCTGTTCCTCAGTCCCAGAGGGAAGGAGGAAGGCCTCCTTCCTCAGGCTTAGAAGATATGGTTTGAAGACCAAGAAAATGAGTCTGCTTTACTGAGAGAGAACAAACTTGGGCACAGCTTTTGTCTGGCTGCAGTGTCAGTGGGTTCTGGGAAGAACTGGTTCCATCAGTGGTTCTCAAAGTGGAGCCCCCGGACTAGCAGCCTCAGCATTACCGGTGAGAAACATAAACTCTCGGGTCCCACCCCAGACCTACTCCAACCAAAGGCTGTGGGTGGGGCCCAGAAATCTGTGTTTTAACAAGCCCCCCAATGTGGTTCTGATACACATTCAAATTTGAGAACCACTGATCAGGGATTCTCAAATCTGGCTGCCCACTGAAATTTCTGAGACTGCGGTTTTGGGGAAGGCTTTAAAAGTCACCAGTGTCCTGGCCCCTCCCTGATCAATTAGACCAGAATCTCTGCGTGTAGCCAGGACTCTACCAGACTGAAGGGACTGAGGAAGCTGTGTCATTATGGAAGGCAGATGACATCCAAGTCTACCTCAGATTCTTGCCTAGACACCCACGGGGACCTGACCATGGTCCTCAAGTTCTTAGCCAGGAAAAGAGGGAAGGAAGGCAGAGACCTACCTGTGTTGTCATGGCCGATCCTGACTTTCCACAGATCTCCCAGGTCCAGGGTCTCCACTGTGAAGATTTCGATGCTGTCCCTCTCAAACTTGTCACTGTTTGTCTTGGAGGATTTCAGGAGGGTCATTCCTGCCAACCAAATGACCCCAACATGACTGGCTGGGCCTGAGACCTCCCAACCTAGTCTGACCACCTTTTTTCGTCTCTCCTCATAATGACCAAATTTCTGAACTTTCATCAAATTTAGACTGTACAATTACCATCCACTTGGCGTCTTTGGCATTTTGTGTGTGTGTGTGTGTGTGTGTGTGTGTGTGTGTGTGTGTGTGTATGTCCTTTTATTAAGCTTTACAATAATCTTTTGACATATATATATATATATTATATATATTAAAAAAATTTTTTTTTTGCCGTATGAGGGCCTCTCACTGTTGTGGCCTCTCCCATTGCAGAGCACAGGCTCTGGATGTGCAGGCTCAGCGGCCATGGCTCACGCGCCCAGCCGCTCCGCGGCACGTGGGATCTTCCCGGACCGGGGCACGAACCCGTGTCCCCTGCATCGGCAGGTGGACTCTCAACCACTGCGCCACCAGGGAAGCCCTTGACATATATATTTTTATTTCCAGTTTGCATCTAAAGAAAAGGAGACACACCCAGAAATTAAGTGCCTTATCCAGGGTCATCCAGGAGGGCTCTAAGTCAATGTGTGCTCGCCTTTCACAATCCCCACATTTCTCCATGGCCGGGAGGGAGCCAGTGACAGAGCCACCCTCCCACTCTCCCTGCGGAAACAGGGCCTCCCCTGCAGGGATGGGGCATGTGGGAATTCTCTAGAGACTCTTCTCTGGATGACAGAAGGAGGGTTGGCTTCAAATGCCCCTGACCAGCCATCTCACATACATTATCTGTCCTGGGACTCTGGCTGCGTGTCAGTCTGAAATTTAAGGTGGTTTCAGGATCATCACCATCTCCTCCTGCCTCAGCTTCCAAGTCTCCTTAACCCTGTAAGTCCCACCTCATGTAGGAAGTCTTCTGATAACCTAGACACATTGCAGACTGGTTTCAGCACACAGAGTCAGACAGACCTTGGTTAGATGCCCGGTTTTTCCACTTAGCATCTGGGTGGCCTTGGACAAATTACTTAATTCCCTGAAACTGGTTTCCTTGAATGTCAAAAGGGATGGTCTTCCCCATAGAGCTGTTGTGAGTATTTAATAAGATGATGACTTGTGTCTTCAAAAATGTGCCTAACACATAGCAATTCCTTGGCAAATAAAAGCAGTTGTTAGGACCCCTCAATTTCATTGACCATGGCTCAGTAACTATTGCAAGGACATTCATTTATAAGTTTTGGCCTGATTCATTCATTATATCTGCATTACCTAACCTAGTAAATAATAATAATAATAAATGTTTTATTGAGTGTCATTTTGTCTCAAATATTTTACATGTTCAATTTCATTAAATACACAACTCTATGAAGCATGTACTAATATAATCTCCATTTTACAAATGGGGGAAACTAAAGCACAGAGAGATTAAGGAACTTGCCCAAGGTCACACAGCTAATAAATGGTAGAGCAGAAGTTTAAACCAATCAGTCAAGCTTGAGTCCATGCTCTATATCATCACAGTGCTGAATTAGAATAAGAGCACCCCAAAGTCAGGGATTAAGCTCCTTCATTCTTCAGCAATTCTTGGCATAGAGCTCTGGACCCACAGGGTTTTGAGCAAATATGCGATGACTACATATTTGAGGGACTGGTTCCTCTCTGAATTCAGACAGAATGTCTGGACACATGGTCCAAGTGGATGGCTGACTCCAGCACTATATGCCACCTTCTCTGATTGCCTTGACAGAGGCTCCAGAATGACCCCAAGACTCCTTGAGCAGCTCATATGGAGAGTACCATGGAACCCATTGGCTGAATCTCACAGGAGGTTGGGAAGAGCCACTGGTTCCCAGGTTGTTATTGAGGTAGAGATAGAGTTAGGGCTACCTCTGCCTTTAGAACAGAAGGAGAAAGCTGGCAAAAGACAGAGAAGAGATCACTCGCTGTTTGGACTGAGGAGCCCATTTGCTACAGTTTTGAAAGTCAAACAGAGTGACACCTCAAGGAATGGCACAGGAAATGGTAAAAACTTTCAGAAAGGCCTGAACAGAGAATTGGGCACCATTACTTGGGGAGAGGATACCGAAGGAAAGATGATTCACATGGCTTCCAAAGGTGGTAGAGGTGGTAGAGGCAGCAGTGAGGACCAAGAGAGGGCAGGGGGCTCTCTGTCCCCAGAATGCAATAGGCCTGACTTAGTAAGATTTAGGAAGAATTTTAAAAGAACTGGCATTCACAACCGAGACAGACAAGTCACCTCACAGGGAGATTTTTTTTTTTTTGCTGTATGCGGGCCTCTCACTGCTGTGGCCTCTCCCATTGCGGAGCACAGACTCCGGACGCGCAGGCTCAGCGGCCATGGCTCACGGGCCCAGCCGCTCCGCGGCAGGTGGGATCTTCCCAGACCGGGGCACGAACCCGTGTCCCCTGCATCGGCAGGCGGACTCTCAACCACTGCGCCACCAGGGAAGCCCTCACAGGGAGATTTTTAAGAAAAAAGGAATTGCCTTTCTCTGTTGGGGCTAGTTGCATGAAATCTTTCAAGAGTCAGAGGCATGCAAGAATACACAATAGGGAAAGGATAGCCTCTCCAATAAATGGTGGAAATGGATGTCTACGTGTAAAATACTTAATTAGGACCCTTATCTCATACTGTACATAAAAATCAACTCAAAATGAATTACAGATTTAAACAGAAGGACTGAAACTGTAAAACTCCTAGAACAACGCATAAAAGAAACACTTTATGACATTGGTCTTGGCAATGATTTCATGAATATGACACCAAAAGCACAGCAACAAAAAATAAAATTAACAAGAGGGACTACATTAAACTAAAAAGTTTCTACACAGCAAAGGAAACAACAGAGTGAAAAGGCGACATACAGAATGGGAGGGGCTTCCCTGGTGGCACAGTGGTTGAGAGTCCGCCTGCCGATTCAGGGGACACAGGTTCGTGCCCCGGTCCGGGAAGATCCCACATGCCGCAGAGCGGCTGGGCTCGTGAGCTCTGGCCGCTGAGCCTGCGCATCCGGAGCCAGTGCTCCGCAACAGGAGAGGCCACAACAGTGAGAGGCCCGCGTACCGCAAAAAAACAAAAACAAAAACAGAATGGGAGAACATATTTGCAAACTATATATCTATAAGGGGTTAATCACCAAAATATATAAAGTAATCTTACAACTCAATAATAAAAAAACTAAGAACCCAATTAAAAATGAGCTAAGGACTTAAATAGACATTTCTCCAGAGAAGACATAAAAATGGCCAACAGTATAAGAAAAAATGCTCATTGTCACTAACCATGAAGTAAAGGCAAATCAAAACCATAATGAGATATGTCACACCTGTCAGGATGGTTACTATCAAAAAAACAAAAGGGCACTTCCCTGGTGGTCCAGTGGTTAAGAATCTGCCTTTCAGTGCAGGGGACGTGGGTTCCATCTCTGGTCAGGAACTAAGATCCCACATGCCACGGGGCAAGTAAGTCTGCGTGCCACAACTACAAAGCCCACGTGTCACAACTAGAGAGAAGCCCTTGCACTGCAACAAAAAGCCCGGGCACCACAATGAAAGATCCCATGTGTTGCAAGTAAGACCTGATGCAGCCAAAAATAAATAAATTAAAAAAACCTAAACAAACCAAAAGACAACAAGTGTTGGTGAGGATGTAGAGAAATTGGAACCCCTGCACACAGTTGGTGGGAATGAAAAATGATGCAGTTGCTATGGATAATAGTATGAAAGTTCCTAAAAAAGTTAAAAAGAGAGCTACCATATGAACCCACAATCCCAATTCTGGGTATATATCCAAAAGAATTGAAATCAGATTCTTGAAAAGTATTAGCGCTCATGTGTTCATTGCAGCGCTATTCACAATAGCTAAGAATGGAAAAAATCCTAAATGTCCATTGACAGATGAATGGATAAAGAAAATATGGTATATGGTATGGTATTATACAGCCTTGTAAAAGGAGATTCTCCAATATGCAACAATGTGGATGGTTCTTGAGGATATTATGCTAAGTGAAATTAGCCAGACACAAAAGGATGAATACAGCATGACTCCATTTAAATGAGGTATCAAAATCAAATTCATAAAATCAAAGACGGAAATGGTAGTTATCAGGAGCTGGGGATAGGAGGAAATGGGGGTTTGATAATCAACAGGCATAAAGTTACAGTTTAGTAAGTTTAATAAGCTCTAGAGATCTGCTGTACACCACATACCTATAGTCAATGACCATGTATCGTACATTTAAAATTTGGTAAGAAAATAGATTGCATGTTAAGTATTCTTCATAAAATAAAATAAAATAATAAAGAGAATTTAAAAATATGGTTTCTTAAAATAAAAGAGAGAAAGAGGGAGAGTCATGTCCAGTATTTCCTTGGAAAATTGCACTGAATCTCCCAGTCTCCCTGGAGGGGAACGTGGGTGAACCTCGGCCCTGCGTTGCTCTCTTACCAGTGTCATCTTGAGTGCCAAAGAGTGTGATGAAGACATTGGCATCGGTGCCCGCGTTCTTCTTGTCCCCGGTCTTTATGGTCACTGAGAATGTGGTAGATTTATCTGCCAGGAGAAGAGTGTGGAGAAGTGAGTGGTAGATTCCACCTCCCATGAAGGGAGGAGGAAGAAAACGTACTGAGCATGTTTCTCTGCTTGTCTTGGCTGTTTTTATGAATCACTTTACTTGTAGCATGTGTTCTTCTGCAGTTGCCTTTAGTCTGGAAACTTCCTGAAGGCAGAGATGAGGTCCCCCCACCCCACGTCCAGCTCACACAGGAAACCCTCAATCAGTAAAGTTGTAGGATGCTTGGGGAAGACTTGGGGTGACTGTGGGGTTCAGAGGCTCAACAGCCAGGAGCCCTGGTGTGACTCCTTCAGGTTGGGAAGTTTTAGGGATGCATGTTTCAAGGAAGGGAACACAAGCATCATAGAACTCTTGAAAGTTCATTATTTCCCTTGACGAAAATATCCATATTGAGAGTCTATAATGTGCTTGGAGGGGAGGACACAAGACTAAGTCAGAGTCAGCTATAACTATTCTATTCCATTCCATTCCATTCCATTCCTTCCATTCCATTCTATTCCTGACAATAACTCCATGCTAGACCATGTACTTTATACCCAGCCGTATGCTAGACATGTGAGAATACGCCCCCTTCACCTCCCCATTCTTGCCGTGGAGGAATGAGAGAACAGATAGATTCCCAGGGAAGGAAGTGCCCAGAGCCCACAGGGGAAGGGAAGATGGAGACCTAGTGGGGGAGAGACAGAGGAAAGGGGTGTTGGAGGGGAGAAATCAGCTCTAGGTTAGGAAACCTTTCTGCTCCAGGGCCAGGTTGTCGAGGGGGTTGTTGTCATCTCCCCCACCCTCCTCATCCTCGCTTGGTGGCAGCACATAGGACTCATCCACTGGCAACAGCTCCCTGGACAGCTGGCCATCATCCTCCTCCACTGCCAGCCAGCGCTGGCATGGAAAGTAGTACCTGTGGGGACAGGGGTTGAGGAGAATTGAGGGATGTCTCTTTGGAAAGGTGTCATGAAACAGTAGTCATGGGCTGAGGAACGAGAGGCCATCATGGGGCCCAAATGCCCCCCTGTCTTCCCCCACACCCCCAGCATTGCCCTCCCATCCTATCTAGCCTGGGAGTCACCCCATTAGTCACTTGGCTGGAGTAGACAACAAACATGGGATGTGGTTTCCATACAACCCCACTGAAAATGGTTGGGTAACAGTGCCTGGAGCACAGCAAACCCTCAATCAGGGTCCTATTGGAGGAATCTAGAGGAAAAGGGGCTTCTGGGGACTGTTCCAGCCTTTTCTAGAATCAACCTGTTAGTGAGAGCCACTTTGGCAGAGAACGTTGTACACACAGGAGGGGCTTCATACCCAAGGGCTGAATTAGTGGATTTTAATGGAATGACCCAATTATGCTTCTGGAAGGTGCAAAGAGTATGGCTAAGGAGATGGCACAACAGACAGCGGGCGCCACCCAGGGAAGGGAGGTCCAAGGTAGACTCCTCAGTGGAGAGGCTGAACCCAGAGCAAGGAAGGCGCCTGGACGGAAGGGAAAGAAGGATGGGGGCCGAGAGAGGCAGCAGGGTGCGGGAACTGAGGATTCGCCTCTAGAGCCAGACTGGGGTTGAATCCTGGCTCTGCCGTCTACAGTCATGTGAGCTTGAACAAGTTTCTTTACCTCTTTGTGCAAAGGTTGCCAGATTTAACCAATAAAATCACAGGACTCCCAGTTAAATTGGAATTTTAGATAAGTAAGTAATAATGTTTCAATATAAGTATGTCCTATCTAGTATTGGGGACATACTTATACTAAAACATTACCCATTGCTTATCCGACATTCAAATCTAATTGGCCATTCTGCAGTTTATCAGGCAACCCTCTGTAGAATGAGGATGATAGTGCCTATTTCATAGGTGGTTGTGAGGATTTCCTGACTCAAACATTTTTAAGTGCTTCAAAAACATGCCTGGCTCTCAGTATGCTCTTGGTTAGGAATTTGCTAAAACTATTGTGAAGATGATGATGATTCTTCTTACGCTTCCTTTCTTCCTCTTCAGTCCATGCCTGGGATCTCTGGAGACTGTGGGCTGGACAGTTCCCACTGGGCCCCTGAGCTTTCAGAACAACTCCGAGGGTTTGGGGATGCAGCCCATCTCTACAGCCCCATCTGCACCCCTTCCCCACCGCTGTCCAGGTGCGTAAGATGCATTCAGGGTCTGGTCAAAGTCTGGAGAGGTGGGAGCAGTGTAGGCCAAGGGTCTCGTCCCTGTCTGAGCCCCACATCCTCCTACAGTCCTTACTGCTTCCCAACATCAGCATGGTAGAGGGGCAGCGCCAGAGGACGCCACCTCGGCCCAGGGGCTCGGATGGGGCACAGAGGGGCAACTGTGTATTGAGAGATGTGGATTTAAAGGGTGGGAGGAGCTCAACCTTGGGAGATATAAACCAAATTGCTATGAAATTAGTGTTTAAGTGAAAAATGTATATCGTTCCACTTCTCTGCCTTTCAAATATTTGAGTGGGAAAGTTAAACTTTTACTAATTTATGAATAATAGGCTTTAGTTCTAAATTATGGCCGATTAAGGGAGAGAGACAGAAATAAAGAAAAGAGTGGGGTTGGGGCTGAGGTGGAGTAATGAGAGTATGGGAAGCTGGAGGAGGACAGGGACAGAGGAAGAGAGATGCGTAAAGAAAGAGCTGGGGGAGACTGATGCTGGGAGAGAAAAAAGTCAGTAAGAGGGCAAGGCACAAGCCCTCCCACACCCGTGAAGAGCGCACGCACGGGGAATCAGAGCCTGGCTTCTTGGCACCACCCCCGTGGTCCCTGAGATACCTGCACCATGAAGTTAAAGGCCCTTAGCACACCCATGTCTGCAGCCTCCGCAGGCAGGAGAACCAGAGCTGGAGCCAGGATGGGCCTGAGCGCTGGACGTTTAGCCTCTATCCTCACAGCAACAACAAGCACTCACAGGAGGTCTAGTGGAGGACTGGGCCTACTGGCCCCTCCCCTTCCTCCCACAGGAATAAATCTTGCTCAAGCAGGTCTGCGGAGGGGAGTAGGTAGGGATTTTTCAGAAGCAAAGGGGAAGAGAGGCATGCAGGTGTTCTAGCCAGGTATGCCCACCACTCCACTTAAGCAAGGGCAATGGAAGGAAGAGCCAGGGGTTGGGTCAGCAGGCAGTTTAAACTGAGCATTGGAACAAAGCTCGGGGCCACTGAAAGTATGAGTTTCACTTGAAAGTTAAACTGGAATGAGTGGATTGCAAAACTGAACGCTGTAAAATGTATTTAATGTGTGGCCTTTCCCATTTTGTGCACAAAGGCTGGAGCACATCAAGTATGTCAACTGGTGG